CCAAGTTTCTATGAGCCTGTGTATAATCCTATAGAAACCTTTAACATCTTTGTTAAATCTCAATTTCACTTGAAAATTATAGGATGCCTTCTGGATTTTTTTTAGCATAGTCGTGAATATTAATACAGCTACTGAAAAGAAACAGAACTAAGTACAAAAGAAATTGTGACCTAATTTTCTCTATTTATTTCTTAGCACCAAGTTTTCAAATTCTGTTTGCGCCATGTGAACCCTTTTGGAAACCCTGATGATATTTTTCTCCACGCTCATATTGAAGGATCTATCTGGCAGCTTTGTGCCACTTAAAACCTTAAAAATTTGTTTGAACAGACATATTTGTACAACTGAAACAGAAGCAAAACGAAGTCTCAATAATCACACGGATTTACCCTCTTTGTTCAAATGTTGGATGTCAGCTACACGAAATACTGTAGTATTTTATTATAGAGATGTAAAATCATTCCATACAGTCTTCCAAATGTCCAACTTGTATTTCAGACACAGATACCAAGGGGGAAATGTCTCCAGCTGTCTAGAACTCCAAATTCCCTCATTTGTACTGTCATTTAACATAAGGTAAAATTTAAGACCAGACTTTAACTGTTTCCAAATGTTTTAATGTATGTTTCTGGTGAAACCTTTAACTGTTATCTAGCACCGGAATTCTTAAACAACAGATACACCCAATGTCTTCCTTTCATTTGCTGTTCAGGCATTTTTCTGTCATAGGTGTAATAGATTTATCATGGTAATATATGATAAATATTTAATAATATTTAATATGATAAATATTTAATGACTTTGGGAGCAAAAGGATCTTGGGCAAATTGCAAATACAGATGATTTTAAGCAGTGATACACAGAAAACTCTTAAACCCGTGGGGAAATGACTGTAGATAGAGCAGTTGTGAAAATAGGCTCAGATGATAACTTAAAATCTCTGAAGAAACTATTGATTCTTTTAAACAATCTCACAAAAACTAACTATGAGCTTTACTGAGGAAAAATTCTCCACACACACTAGAAACCTGAACCGAAGTACATGTGGGAAAAGCAGAATACAGCACTGAAACAAAACAGAAGAGGCTTAAGTCTTCTCTCTAATCCTGGTACATGTTAGGCTTTTTTTTTTTTTTCTGGAAAAGACATAACACAATGTAAAAAGTAACTCAGTTTAAGCATTACTTTCTTTGAGTCCTACAAATGAGCACAACCTCCCATGGGACTTGTGAGTGGCCTAGAAGCATATGTGTCCAATGAAACACTCCAAGTCAACGACTTGGATAACACTCCAAGCCTTTGTGAGCCCAGACGAGCTGATATATCAGTGTGACCCATTGACACAGGCTTTTACTCTGAGAAAGAAAATGGTTTCTTTTGGGATGGGTTACAGACAAGGGTAAATATCTATGCTGAAGAAGAGTTTGGCAACAAAAATAATACTACTTTTTTTTTCTTTGTTCTAGGGTGTTTCATTTATCCATTTAAGATAATTGGAGCATTACAGTTAATACAGAGGCCTATGAAATAACTTACTACCTAGACATTTTACCTTTTAAAATCATTTTGCTAATCCTGGAGAAGAGAAGGCTCCAGGGAGACATTATAACACCTTCCAGTACCTAAAGAGAGCCTGAAAGAAGGCTGAAGGGGGACTTTTTACAGGGGAATGCAGTGATAGGATAAGGTGTAATGGCTTTAAGATGAAGGAGAGTGGGTTTAGATTAGGTATTAGGAAGAAGGTCTTTACTGTGAGGGTGGTGAGACACTGGCACAGGTTGCCCAGAGAAGTTGTGCATGCCCCATCCCTTGAAGTGTTCAAGGTCAGGTTGGATGGGGTTCTGACCAACCTGGTCTAGTGAAAGTGTCCCTCCCTGCTCATGGCAGGAGGGTTAGAACTATTTGATCTTTAAGGTTCCTTCCAATCCAAACCATTCTATGAGTCTATGATATGTCACGGTGCAATTTACAATAAAGGAAAAAACACCTTCAGTGGTATATCAATAATTTATTGTTTTGCATAAGAAGGTAAGATCAGATTTCAGATAAGACATCAACCAAGGACCTGATGGTGAATTCAAGTATAGAGCTTGGTACAATATTAAAAAATACTACCCTCTGTTTTATTACGGCAAACAGCTAAAACACAATAAAAACATCTGGACTTGACTGTCAAAACATACAGTTCTCTAAAAACCCACACAGCACAACTTGAATATGTGGAATATTGAAAACATGTTTAGTCATCTTCATTCCCAAATTCTTAGGAGTCAAAGGAACAATCCACCCCCCTGTTCCCCTTGGTATCCCAGAACAGTTCGGCACGTGGGCTCAGCATCCAGCACAAGAAGCAGTCTCCTGTCCTGTTGAAACTGTTGGGCTAAGACATTTTTTCTGCCTTGACCTACTGTCATCTCTGCCTGTCTTATGGAGGGTAAGACCTTTGATTTTTAGCTTTTGAAGCTAACACTGCAATACTGTTGATTTTTCAAGAACGGTCTAGTAATGTAATTAAAACCATTTCTCACTCCTCAAAGACTCTGCGCACGTTTTACTCTGTTGGTTGGATTTATGTTTTTGAGATTCCCTTTCTTTTGCAGGTGTTACTATTCAGGAATAGCTCCTGGCTCAGAGACGGGGCAGGCAGCCATCTGTCTGGAAGATTCCTGCCAGGACTGTGCCGAGGATCAGAGGGTCAGTGTCTCTGCAAATGCAGCAAAGCACCACACTGCTTACTGCTGCCCAGCACAGCAAAGCTGGGGAGAAGATCCTCCTAGACCACACTGACCCAGGAATGGGAATTAAATTAATTTCAAAAGGACAGGAAAAACAGCCTGCAGAACAGCCAGAACTGTTTCTACCAGGGAGTTTGCAGATTATTCTAGCATCTATTTCTTAAAGAGAAAAGCAGGTTCCTTATGTGAGCGTGATCGTACCCCAATGCTCTGAGACAGCCCAGGTCAGAAGCAGTGTCAATAGTGTTTTAGTAAGGACTAAAGCCCTTCTTGTTGGAAAAGGTCAGATCCTGAGGGATGCCAAGTGCCCTCTTGGATGCCAGAGATGGTGAGGGCACTTGACACCTCCCAGGCAAAGGCGAACAGACCTGCTGAGTTCCAGATGCCCTGAAAAATAGTTTAATTTTCAGTATTTAAAAAAAAAATAGAAAATGTTTTCTCAACTCAGATAATCTCTATGCAATTAAGTTAATCAATAAATTTCTATTTGTTACCAAAAAAAAAGTTGAAGTCCACCAGGAAAAGGTGAAATTTGACAAAAGTTACATTATAGCTGTTTGAGCACAGTATCTGTATCCGTACTGGGACTCAGTACCTCTGTAACTCTTCCATAAACATTTCCAGACTCCGAGGGATTTTGCTGTTGTTTCTTGCATTTCATTTGTTTTATACAACTCTAAGCCAAATGCAATGACCCACACATTAAATACACATTTAGAATAAAACTGCAAAATCTGATGGCTTTATCAGCATATGAACTGAAATAAAATATTTACATGGAATGTTGAGCTCCATTTACAGAGACTGTTTCAAATTACAGACTTGGTAATCTCTTTAGTAAATGATCACATCGACAAGAAATTAAAAAACTTAACATCCCTTTTCAACCTTTTCATAAATATATAAAGTTTCACTAAATTCTTCTTTCTTTAAACAAGACAGCTATATTCTCTTTACAGATTAACATGAAATAATGGTTTCCTGTTTGAACGCCACGGATGGGATGATCTGAAGTCAGAAAGTTCCTATACACATTCTGTACTTACAAGACATATTCACAACACAACACACAGGTGTTACTTGGTCTTTACATCTGTACTCGTTTCCTGCATATCAGTAGTAAATAAAGAAAAATACCAAATTATCTATATTAAAAATACATCCTCTAATATACATTTGCTTACACTGTCACATCAAATCTTAAAATGGGGTTTCCAACTGTGTCGGATCAGTGACAAGGATATTTTATATAGTGAAGTCTACAGCATTCATTTTTTTTTGGGTGGAGACAAAAGACATGTTACACTACTAAAAAGCATCACTACATACTGAACAATAAAAAGAATTAATCTCTTGCATTTTCTTCCTGGATCTCCAAGGTTTCCTAACTGAAAATTTCTGATGGGAAAATTGTTTTGAACGAAGTCAAAAATATTTGAAATCAATTTAAAGGGGGAAAAAAGTTATTCTCTACTTTGTTGCTATTCATTTGACTTTGCCACTGATTTTACAGAAGATTAATCCAAAGACTTTGAAGTTATATACATAGTAGCTCAAATTTAAATAATTATTCCCATGAGTTCTCTTTGTTGTGCCACAGAGCATGCATGAAAGTATTTTCAATCCATGCATGCTCACAGCTGAGTATTTCACAATTAAGCCACTAAATATGTCTCTCTTTCCATGAGTAAGTGCAAAGGAATACTAAAATCACTCTGTACATGTAAGACAAGGTTCACATCTAGAAAAGTAAAAACACTTATCTCAATACGTAATTAAAACTACGATGTCTTCCTTGTAAAAATGTTGGTCACTTTTGCCTGTTTCAGTTCTCTCAAGCACTTCAGGGGCAATAACTTCCAAGTGCTGATGTGCTCTTTATGGGAGCAGTTATGTTTAAAACCACTGAAGTGCCAATCTCCAGTATGAATTTGCATCTTCTGCAAACTCTGTTAAAAAGGTCACCTTGGAAACACACAGATGATAATAAAGAGGTGTTTGGCAGTTTTGTTACCCTAGTATGAGCTCACTTTATGGAGCATAATAAAACTCTGGTTTAATCTGACTGTTCTGCCCCCAGTTGTGGGCAGGAGAATTGAAGACACAGGAAAACAAGACCAGTTCCAAGTGCATGAAGAGTTTACCTGCTGCTCAGGTAGAGTTAAAAGCCCTCCTACCAAGAAAACCACCACTGAGTAATGCCAACCCATGCCCCAGATGCAGACACTGAGACAACAGCAGATGCTTTGTGTATTTTAAACATTACTATGAGTGCAGCCAGCTGACAGGAACCCAGAAGGTCTCAGTCTCCAACCTGTCAAAAGTTGCTTTGAGCTCAGCGTAAGCCGTAGCGAGGTCGTCGTTAACTATCACCTTGTCAAACAGGTGGCCATACTGGCTCTCCATCACGTGGGCAGATTTAATCATTTCGTGAAAATCTTCTTCCTAGTAAGATCAGTGCAAGGGACAGTCAGTCCATAGAGACATTTCATAACTCACTCTATGATAAATAGAAGCTACTTGATTATTTCTCGGCTTATCAGGAGATAGAAACAGCACTTTTAATTAACAAAAAAAAGAAATTAGCATTTCAAGTTATCTCAGAGAGCATTCTCCTGAGTTGATTCTGCTCAACAGGCAATTCTTTCTTCTCTTCCCTTGTAGTGACACAATTAGTCACTGCACAGTAATTACAGAGACATTTTCTGTTAGCATTACTCACAATTAGTCACTGCACAGTAATTACAAAGACATTTTCTGTTAGCAGTACCAGTGGAAAATGTTTCTAGCTGTTTACTTTGATGGTACGTTTAAAGTTTCATCACTTAAGTCTCAGCTTGCTATATTAGCATGTGATATACTACAGCACAGGCTTTTTTCTTTTAAGAGCTTGGTAGGAGTCATCATTCTGTGCCTGGTTTGATCTGGCCTAGTGGATTTCTCTTTGTGTTTGGGGAGGGAACAAAACTTAGCAATTAATTTCAATAACTTTGAGAGACTAAACTTGTCCTAACTGAGCAACGTCCTGAACGTTGCTCTTAAGAATGAACTCCTCTTACTTTGTATGTAACACAAACCAACATCTTCTTATAGTGTCTAATTTTCAATTTCAAATGCACATTGTACACAGATACAGTCTGTACAGTCTGTGACTGTATCTGTGACTCAGTTTGAAACAAACCCTAAACCATCCAACATAACACCTGAACGAGGGAAAGTGATACACACCCTAAATGTAGATAAAAAGTCTAACTATGATCAGCTTTGCTTTAGCTTCAATTAAAATAGGATTTCATTACATTACAAGGAAGCAAGTAAGTTACTGTTAGGTAATCTAAACTTTTTCTGACTATTGACAAAAAGCAGCATTTGTTACTTGCTTAGATTTTTCTTCTTCTTTCTTACAGTGTTCATTGCCCTGTAACACAACCCTGTTTCTCTCATCCACAAATATGGGTTTTTACTAAAGGAGCATTTAATTTTTGTAATTGATTCTTTATATATGAACTTTCCTCTAAATTTAGACCCCAAGGAAACTGTTGTAATTGAATAGAAACATCTATGTTCAGATGCAAATTTTTTAAAGGATTATCTCTCAGAAAAATACACTTGCATTGTGGAGGTTCTTCAGTGACATCAACTAAGAGGGCCATGGAAAATGTAAATACCCATGAGCACATCAAACAGTGAAAACACCACAGTAAGTGTGTGATGTGAGAGAGGTTGGGAAACAGCAAGATGGTAGGTGTAAGCCCTGACAAGTGCTGTCAGTGAGATCCAGTAATCCCCTTTATTTTCAAGGTAAACCACTACAACAAAAATCTCAACAGGTTCTCATGTTTTACAGTATCTAATACTTACTGTAAAGGGTTTTGCAGTTCCCTTGTCATCTTTACTTGAAATAATCTTGGCATGTTTTCTGGTCTCTCTCAAACGGTCAAGTGATGGAGGCTTTATAAATATAACGAATGGTTTAAACTCGTATGTCCGTAAGTGTTTCACTGTCTGGGAAGAGGAAAGATTTGAATTAATTAGTTTATTTTGCACAATGGTTTCACTGTCTGGGAAGAGGAAAGATTTTAATTAATTAGTTTATTTTGCACAGTGAAATCTACTGTAATAAAAGAAACTCTCCACTAACTGAAATAAATCCATAAAGGACTTCTAGCAGCTATTTTTATTTACTGCCATCCTGTTCTGCTGACCAGCACTGACTCATGTAAGGAGAATTTTCATGTGAATAGTAAGAAAACCATTTTTCCAAGAGTGATCATTGCTTCTGATTTCCACATGGCTGCTGGCAAACCTCATCTGTTCAGCAGAGGCTGCACACCAGTGCCACTGGCAGTGGGAGGATGGAGGGGGAACCGCAGGTATTCAGAAGAAGACAAAAAGTTCAACACGTTTTAGCAGGAATTCACTTTCTGTACCCATGAAAAGTAGTGGAAAAAGGTATCTGTGGCACTCAGTCACAGGTCAATGATTTTTCTCTTCAATAGAGTGTGCCCACTGCACCACCCCTTGCTGTTCACTCTTCCTGAGTGAGTCAAGTGATGCTATGTGTGAAGTTAGAGACAGATCTAGGATTTGGGTTGAAGCACAGGGTGAAGCAGGGATGGGCAGAAACTCAGGGTAGTGTATGGATGGCCAGGAGCTTTCTGTCCTCTCCACACTGCCAGGGTCCACAGGAAAACCCCATGTTGGAGACTGGGATCCCAGAATGGTTCACAAGCCTGGGTCCCCAAGAGAATTTAGTGCTTTGCTGTAAAATAGGGCTGTGTAGGGCAGGCAATGGTCTCGCAGAGCAGGAGCCCCTGCCCAGCAATCCTTCTTGCCTGATGCAGGGTATGGCTTCCCTGACTGCTCCTCTGCCAGTGCAGCCCCTGCCCTGCTCCGTGGGCACAGCCCCATGTCCAAAACTGCCCCAGGAACTGTTGACAAGCAGCTCACTGGTTTCAGAAGTCACATGCTGGCCACCCTTGGAGAAGAAATGCTTTGGCTGAGTTTAAACAAACTAGTCCAGTGCCTGGAAGCACTGTGGTTATTAAGAGCAAAAAAACTCCCAGTGGAGCTGTTCAGTGGGGTTGAAAGACAAGGTCAATGCAAGAACAAATGGTTTAGAGAGGAACATCCTTAACAATTATCCAGCCAAATCACATTTAGTGCATTCCTTGACTCATGTCCACCCTGCATGGAAACCCTTGGCATGAAGGGTCTGGTGAAACATTTGAGAGAAAGTGGCTGGACTGGGTGAGACTTCAAAGCCATTCTGAAATTAAAGTTTCAGGGAGAACCTCTAGCCCAAACTAAGAGAAAGATGAATGGAAATATAGGAGCATTCTGTAATTAAATCTTTGGTATTATGCTGCAGGCTTTCAATTCACTTATTTACTAGCTGAATACTTGCCAATATCTATTGAGGTTTCCTGCCTCTCCTTTCAGAAAACCTTGCTGTGATAAAGGTACCCAGCAAGATCACTCAACAGTCATTCAGTGTGGGATAAAAAACACTCTTTTAGAAATTCTAATATAGGAGCATTCTGTAATTAAATCTTTGGTATTATGCTGCAGGCTTTCAATTCACTTATTTACTAGCTGAATACTTGCCAATATCTATTGAGGTTTCCTGCCTCTCCTTTCAGAAAACCTTGCTGTGATAAAGGTACCCAGCAAGATCACTCAACAGTCATTCAGTGTGGGATAAAAAACACTCTTTTAGAAATTCTTTTCCCTGGTCAACAGTCATTCAGTGTGGGATAAAAACCACCCTTTTAGAAATTCTTTTTTTTTCCCTGGAATCCCAATATGCAATATGGGGAAGCATAAGAGTTCAGAAGACATGGTTACTTACATGAGGCTGCACATCCAACAAACAAACTTTGTTTTTAGCAAGAACTGATCGAACAGAGTCTAAACTTGTACCATAGTAGTTGTTCTTATACTCTCCATACTCGATAAACCTGTGGCAGGAGGTGAAAACAACTGGAATCATTTCCAATTTCTTCAGAAAAAAAAAAAGCTTACCAGTTTGGTTTGTAAGATTTAATTCGGGAGCAAAAATATTTTACTTTACATGAGAGTTTTACCATGTTTTATAAAGGAAATGCTGTCAAGTACTTCAGCATGTCAATTTTAAGAAATCTTCTACTTTACCGCTTTCAAATCAGTAACACCTGCTTGTATTACAGCTAAAGAGAAAAAAGCACTGTAGTCCAACAGCCCACTAATGTTTTCCATCACCTCTTTTTCTGAACTAATGCAATGCAATAAAACAGTGGATAAGCTAAACAATAGAAACTACTGAAATTTCATTGCACACTACAGAATATCCAAATTCTCTGTCTCAGAAGAGGAGGAGGAGTGACGACAGTGCTAATGGAACCAAGGCGGCTGGTTATTTGCTATAAAAGCACAAGTGCTATTTGCCAGAAAAGCAAAGCACAGTTTGAAGTTTCAATAAAACCCACAGCTTTGTGTCTAATACACTTTTGCCCTCTGAAACACTGGGGCAGAATTTCAAGCTACAGGATTTTACAGGCTGCTAGAGAGCACGATGCTACCACTGTCTTCATTTTAGTTTACTTTCAGGAGGGTGCACAGGCAGGGCCTTCACTGTAGATCTCTAAATTCAAAAGCAGAGGAAGTGCCTGGCCTGAAAGAGAGCAGAACTATGCAAACATTGACTCAGGCACGTCTGCAGCACTTCCCCCTCCTAAGCAATGCTTTATTGCTAAGACAAGATGTTCTTTTAAAAGAGTGCTCCCCCATCCTAAGCACCTACAATTTCAGTGTCTTGAGGAACTGAGGTACTGAAACTACTGAGAAGCTTAGAAACAGTTGTGTTTGCATATACTACTTTTTTCTCTCTCTGTGTTTTTGCCAGCTCCTTATATAACAAAATGTAATTTTAACACATCTTCAAATCACTGCAACTTATATCCACTTTGAGTTATTATCTAAAATTACAACCAGCCTCATTCTATAACAAAGCCATTGTTTTAACTGCAGTTGTAGTTAAAAAATCTCTTCAACATACTTGTTATTCTGTACGTCTGTCTCAAACAAGTGCTTGGAAATGAAAATGTATTCGACACCATCACTTTCTTGGCTTCTCCTTGGACGGGTAGTGTCTGCAGTTTCATGAAATGAAAAAAAAATAAATGCACAAAACAATATAATGCAAACCAGGTCAGGAAACACTGAAAAGCACAAACCCCTTGTGCAATACTAAGTGTAGCACTTCTCATTTCTGACGGACATAAGGCTGCTCTGGATTTGGTAGGCGGCACATAAGCACATGACAGGATTGAGTTCTAAAAGCAGGCAGAAAAACCAGGGAAAAAACCCTACTGGACAAGTATCAGATTATCATTTTTATTAACTAGTGGAAAAATCCAGTAAAATGAACTGAATAATAAAAGGAGCAGCAGTCCATAACAATTACCGTGATCTTGCCTCTTGTTAAACTTATTAGCATATGAGACCATAAAGGGAAACAAAGCTCACCAACCTGATTTATAAAATGTTAAGTTCATTAACAACACTTGTAGCTGTGGTATGTGAAGCATGGTAATAAAAAAATGGGGTGTGAACTTTATGTTTAAGTGCCTTTCTTTTTCTGCTGATCAAAATTGAACTTGTTTTCTTTCAGTAGTCTTGTAGTATTTGCACTTCTCACTTTCCCCCATGTACTAGGTGTAAGGGTTTTGCTTATAAATGAACCTGATTTGTGGGATTGCCACTTATGATTTATGAACCCGTTCAAAAGTCCAATTTAATACAAGGTGTATGTTACAGCATCATACATTGTCCATCTCATATGGACATACACAAACTGCTTGCAGCAACACAGTCTTAAATGCCACTTGATATCACACTCTTTTTAGGCTGACACAATGAGGAACATTTCCAAGACAGGAATCCCAGTTCTCCCTCCAAGTCCTAACTTACTGAATTTCAGGGAGACGGATTTCTTTACATGTTTGTTTTAAATTATAACCACAAATTTGGAAGTGAAAAGAGAGAAGGCAGCTTGATGAATACTGGCAATTTTTAGAGAAATATTTTGGAGCAAATGATTGCATATGCTTCAGTGTGTTAAATATTTTGTGAACATCTGGCTTTGTTGTTGTTGTTGTTGTTGCTTTCAGTACCCAGCTGAAGCAAATATGTGCAAATGAAATGACTCACCAAACCAAATGCATTTATTTTTCTACCTAGCCAATTTATTTTTATATATACTTGACAGAATACCTGCACTTGGAAAAATCTGTGACAGTATCTCCCAGATTCAGAATATTGGACCCATAGTTTTGAAGGATCCCTATAGGAGGCACAAGTACAAGTAGAAAACAAACCAAGGAATGAAAGTCTAAAACTAAGTCTAAGTTCTCCTTATTAGAGAAAACCCAATAAAGTGTTGTAGAAGTTAATAGAGCACAATGTTATTCAATGTTAGAAAAATCACACTACTTGGTCAGATAGGCAGAAAGAGGGGAAAAAATCCCTAAATCAACTCTTTTAAAGCTAAACAAAGGGATTTAATTTATTCACAGGATTAAACTGTTTATCATCAGTCTTTATTTTTCAGCCTAACAGATAAAGGCCATTTTGTTGAATGCAACCATTGGTAACAGAGTACATCTCAGTGCTTTACAGCCAAGTCCAGGGTGTTCTTCAGCTGAGTTTCATTTACTAAACTTCACTGCCATCAATCATGTTAAACTTGTACTAAAAGTGTACTGCAATGCCTGAGCCAAAACATCCTATCAGTTTAATCAATGCTGTTTAATATAGAACTGCAGCAGCACTTTCAAAAATTAGAAAAGTAATTTGGATGCCAAGCATTCATTTAGGGACCCAAATTTGGAAGTGCCTTAAAGGCAGTACAATAATAAAGGCTAATAACACAAGTATATCATTAGGAGACTAGAAGTTCATTTGAACTTACGTGGCACTGTTACCCCGTAGTGTTGGGTATCACTGATCAGCAACTTCCGCTTAAGTTCATTCAGTCCAACCCCTACAGGACCTGAAAGGAAAAAAATCATCCTGTTTTCCAACAGCCAGTTCTCTCTTGTCTCCAGGTGTAAGTACTCTCCAAGATAAGACTACATAGCACATAGCTAGAATATAAACTGCCTTTTAATCAGTCATTTGGAAATGCCATGGTTCTAGCCTCTCCTAGAATATACAGTGCTGACAAATTTCATGGGATGTAGTTGGCTGTTACTTTGCTCTATTACTGAGAAAAAAAAACAGTGAAAAAAAAAGCTGCCAGCAAAGCTAACTTTCTTTTCTACAGCAACTACTTCAGTATGCACCCAGCTCCATCCTCAGCCCTACTACAGACCCCTGCACCCTAACCTGTCGCTTTCCAGAACAAAAATTGATTTGGTTATTCATTTTGCCAGAACACAGACTAGAGGACCTCAGCTGCCATGTGCAAAGTGCCCCCACAGGGCCCTCTCTGCACTCTGTGTCAGCACAGCCTCACTCCCCACAGCTGCTGCATCCCTTGCCTGCACCAGATGCCCCTGGCAGCAATTGCTTCTCTTTCTCCACCTTTTCCCCATGCCCTGGGAGCACTGTTCCCTCCAGCCCCCACTGCAGGCAGGAGCACTGCCTGGCTCCTGGCTGGAGCTGTTACCATCCACCTTGTGACTGTGTGAGGGTGGCATTGCACAGGGAGAGGAAGGAAGGGCAGCACTTGCCAGGTCACAACCAGTTTGGGATGTTTGGGTTTCTTTCTTTGTTGTTGATTTTCTTTTAAACTGTGCTTGTCTCCTGCCTGCTGTCTGAACTGATCCAAAGCAAATGTTTCCTTCTTCACACAGCTGCCAAAGAGAGACCACTCTTGGAAAGAGGATGGCAGGAAGAAACAAAGACTGCATGGAATTTTTTTACCCCTCTCCTCCACCTCCACTTGAGTACTACTGTCCTAGAAGCTCCTGAGCAGACATTCCTCTTGGCTTTCAGGTTGTCCCTAACTCTTAGCCATTTGCCAGTGGTGCCTTAGGTCTTGGTGAGAGCACTCTGTCCTGTGAGGTCTCCAAGACTCCACAGGCATTTGCTGCCTGCTCCCAGGAGCCCTTCCTGCAGAGCTCCAGCCTGCCTGGCTCCTTTCCTGGCAGGGGCATGGTGCTGTGTGTGAAGGGAGCTCAGCTCTGCATGCTCTCATGTTTCTGACAGTGCAGTGGCTTCATTTCTACAGAGCCAGGTCAACAGTAGAACCCAGAGGAGAGTGAGTCATTGGAACCATATCCCAAATAATGCAAAAATAAGACATGTGGTTTTAAGGAAAATTCTTGCACTTCTAGTAAAAACAACACGTTTTGACGTGGAGTGCTTCTTAACAAAGACATTTTAGACATTAGAAAGAAAAAAACCTAATAAACATTTCAATGAAGTAGTGATGCATTAGCTAATTACTAGTCAGAGTCCAAACCGAGACTGATGCTTCAGTACCCTCAGGTGCCTATTTGGAAAAATGACCATCTGCCCTGTCTGAAGTTGGAAACACATAATGATGAAATGCAAATGCTTCCTGCTTTGCTGCTACCCCCAGACTATGGTCTCTTAAGAGTTTCTGCATTTAAAATTTCTACGTGTTTACGTCAGTTAAAAACAACTACATTTCAAGTTCTATCTCTGACCTTCCTGTAAATTAATCTATCAGTATGTATAAATGTTTATTTAATACGGTGTACAGCAGCCTCTACTGGTGCGTGTCTGCAGAGGAAAGCAATGTGTTATGTAGATAATGGCATTACTTTTCTTAGTATTTTAAAAAAAATCCTTTTTTAATAATTTAGCTGTTAAGGCAAATACAGATTCTTACAGGAAAAATCATTACAATTTTCTCAATATGTTCTACCAAAGTAGAACAAGTGGAATTCAATTTTTAAAAAATCACTGTATTGCTTTCAAGCAAAAGACCTTTCCCATCAAATCTACAAAAATATTATTTTCTCAGTCTACATGGTGTCAAATCAACAATATGCTTTTAGCTCTATTTATATATAAAGAATCTAGGCTTTGCTTCCTGCAACAGATGCTTTGGAAACTTTGCTCAAATCTGTTTCCAGACCACAACCTCACTACTACTCTGTCTCCCCTTCCAGATTACCATTTCAAAATCATCTTTACACTTAACTAGTGAAAGGTGCAGATTCTTTTTCAGTGCTGTCTCACAGAGTTCTCATAACTGTCGTGTATGGACACTGAAGGCTGATTCCTACTCAGCAAAGCTTTACCAGCATTATACTGATTTTTACACTACATCTCCCAAGTGTAATATACAGTTCTACTCTGAATATTCTTTCCATTTTGATGTAGCAAAGATGCCAGTTTCTAACACTCATGAATCTCAAGACAATCTGAACTCAAGAAGAGAATGAAGTTTCAGGATTGAAAAGGACAATCTAAGGTTCTTATAGTCAAATGTCAGACATGTGGGATCCATGACTGTAGCATAGTTTTGGTTTACTATAAATCACCCCAGGCAGCAATATTTAGAGTTATGGTGACAGATTTAGAGATACTTTGTTTATGTTTTTAGAGGAACATTTATGTTGCTTGCTGTTGCATGTTAAGTCATGCAAGCTAAGTAATGGTCAAATCCTGCACAAATGGACTGTAGTGTCTACCTCACTTTATTGAGGGACATTTGCAGAATTAAACCACTGATGATTAAAATTTGCATTACATTTTGTACCACTCACACATGTCTGAAGAAAACTGAAAAAACTGATGCAAGTTTAGGTCTCAGGAGGGTTAACCCAACATATTGAACTCTGTTTGAAAGAAGAATGAAGTGGTCTTTTAGAAA